ATCGAGACGCCTCAATTCTTGCACATGTAGCACGCACTTGTGAGTCAATACTAAGGAATCGATCCAACATTACATCTCTTAGGATTTATGTACACGTGTCACGTATGCACATGTAAGAAAATGTTCCCGTTTGTAATTTTATATAAGTGTGTATTTACTGTACCGTATGTTGTATACATGAAGCACAGTGAATATTGATTGCCGTGTATATAGAGGAACAAGAGAAATGAGGGTGGTGGTTGGCTGAGAGTGGAATAATGCACATTGATTGCAGTTATTACTATTCACAGGCACTCTGAAGATCATGCCTAAGGAGTGGGATGCAAGTCTTTAGCACTGCACGTAGCCAACCGTGCTAATCGGTGTGGGAGATGCCACAAAATGACAATGCAGTCCCGACTTGTAAAGTCAAAATGAGCTCATTTATGTGCGCAAAACATTTCAAGATGGCCTGCTATAGCAAGCTTATTTTTATGTACAACTATGTACGTTTACAAAAATCCCCAATACACAGTATTTTACTAATACAGTATTCATGTTTTTAGCCTTGTAATAAGACAAAATCACCCATAATATACCTGATATTGGTAAGCTATGCAGGGTTAAACGTGGATACTGCTTGGATGAGCGTGCATCATGGTTAAAAACAGGCCTTGCAGACTGGAATTTGGCTTTGTTGTCAGAACACTAACATCTATGCTACTCATCTTCACAAACCTGCAATGACCAGCTTGGTGACATATGGTCAAATAACCCTCACAGCAGTGTATTGACAAAAATAATTTACCTCTACACAAAACTGAAAATGCTGTCGAGTAATCTCCGAGCAACACACATGCTATGAATGCAAGTCGAGATGCAAAATACATCTCGAAATTCCTACAGAAATTGACAGAATATACTTGTGCACAGCTGCCAATTACCCATGCAAACATTCATAACATCATTCCAAATGCAACAAGGCAAGAGTCCAATGGTTTCTCATAATGCTGCATTGTCTAAATATTAGATCATCCTGGCATGTTATTTTAAATTGTGCATTATCTGCACATTTTCCCATTTGGTGACAATTCCTTTAGAACGTAGTTGTGCATCGTAACGACCAATAAGTTAAATTTGCATTGTTTCAGCCACACACTTTTATTCAACCACAAGTAAAAACATTGATAATATTTTGAGTGACGAATTATGTCAGTGGTAGTAAAGCACAATCACTTCCTGTGACGTAATCTCCCGTAGTGCCAGAATGCATATATATCTAGTGGGGACTCAAACCCCTACATGACAACTTTATTTATAATGATTGGCTTAATGACAAGGTCCTGCACACCCATGCTTTTAGCACTGTTATCACCTTAAACAGCGGCACACAACCCTATAAACAGCAAAAACAGGGAGGCCTGAGTGAAGTTTCATGAACTGCAGTGACAGGTCGACATTATTACATGTCCTTGTCCTACAGAAAGTGCCTTGCAAATTACCACTTAGGCAGTCTTTTCTAAATAAAAAAAACTGATATACCAATGAATCAGAAAACCAGACAGACAAGTGTAAGAGTACATGTGTACAATAGAATGCACAGCATACGTGTCACATTCATTTTCAAGTGAACACTCGAGAGTCCCAAGTTATTGACAGGCAGTCTGAATCAGTTATGATGCTTACATATAGACCAAGGCTGTGGCTAAAGCACTTGTTACGATAATTATTCATGTTTATCAATAACCAAAGCTGTGACACATTAAGGTACCCTTAGAATAATTTCCATTTGTCGTCAATTACCAAGGCATGCTAAAGAAGCGATACAGCAGATTTAAAATTCCTGGCTATCAACATGAGATTCAACCCAAGGTATGGTTATCATTTTGATGTGGCTTCAATGCAAGACGTTCAGAGGAGACGTAAGGAATGATTCAGATTGATTTCTTGCAATATGCTACAATTGCAATTGTGTTGCCCAATTCAAAACACCCTGAACGCTACAATAAACGCTTACACCACCAAAAAAAACCTCAAGCTAAAATTATTATGAGTTTGAGGTTTTCCATAATTACATCTCAATGAACCTCAACAGACATTCCCAAGTTGAACTCATATTTAATTTAGAACTACCTACAGAAAGCAGACAATAGCGCAAGGGACGACAATCACACGCGACTGTCCACTTGTCTTCAGTTTAACATATAGGCTTTCCCGACCAATATGTCTTCACTCTGGCCATACAGATATTTTACTTGCAAATAATGATCCTCTACAAAACGATCCAGATCCTCTTTTTATATAATACTTAATATAAATATTATTGTATTCCTTCTAGAGATGTCTGCATTCATTTACAACTGGGCTGGGGGGGGCTACAAGTTAGTTTTGGCCTTCACAGGGCCTAGGTTTAGAGTTCGAACCCAGCGGATAAAGTAGAAAACCGCAATGTGCTTCAAAATGGATGTTTAGGCTCCCGTAACACCGATCGCATGAGCAGCCATTGCATACCGGAGTCATTGCCCAAATGAGCAAATATAAAAAAAAATACCCGGAAATTAATGTAAATAGAAAGACTGCACGATGCAACCATGCTAAATACAAATCTATTGTGCCCAAGCCCAATCTTCTTCATCTCAACAGACATGGGTAGATTAAACATAATATCAGCTAATGGGGAGAGGAGCATTGTACAATTACTTGGCAATTCATGCCAAACTCTTTGTTTTTTTCGGTAAAGTCGCGAAGATTTAATTTAGTTGTTTTCACTAATTTTTATTTTATTTTTACCTACGTGACTTTACCGAAAAAACCAAAGAGTATGAATCCTTGCAGTCACAACAGCTTCAGATCTAGAATTCATGGCAAGTAACCAAAGAGCACAATTAGACTATCACTCATGAAATAGACTTGGGTGACTAGTTCCGTGGGCAACATGCACACACGTCTGCCTTCCTGTGTAAGTAATTACAAATACAGGGATTTGCACTGTGAAAAGGGGTTACGAAGCACCCTGATAAGTAATCAGGTACATGTGATTTCATCAACGCGAACATTCTCGTATAAAGTTATTGTTCAGAGCTATATATCTGGATATGTAAACGTATGGTAAATTACATAACATTACATTTGATGAATGGGCCTGTAGGTTAACGCACCTACAAGAGCTCTAGTTCCGAAGCCATCGTGGTAAAACTTGCAGTTGCCTGTTAATTTCTGCAGTGCATGCCCTGCTATAAATCATGCAAAAATACGCTGGCATCTTCTGCAGCACTGATGTTGTGGCCCAATCAATTATTTCGTATATGGGTACTCTTATCTTAACTACAGCACAAAAACAGCAATCCATCTTGAACTACCATTTCCTGATGAAGTATCTATGAGAACATTTTAATAAAGTACAAATTATAATAGTAAAACATTTCCTTGCTGTGGTTGTCACACCTGATGATGATTGCTTGTGTTGCAATCGAAACGTCGTGATTTATTTATATTATTTTTTGTATTTATTTTTTCACCTACGTGACTTTACCGAAAGAACCAAAGAGTACAAATTATCATAGCCACCGCTGTATAACTCACATTTTTTCCTTGCAAATGTTACGTATCAAAATAATGCCATGTGCATATAAAACCATATTTGGATTTTAAAGCAAGATGGCATTGAAATGTTTACGAACTGCAACGCTTTAAATTGTAAACGTGCATCTTTTTGGATTCACCACCACCAACCAGATTCAACATGAAGGGTCAGGAAATGGTTATGCTAAAGAAATGTGGAAGATTACGTAAGAAACTTGATCAACTGGTTTTTCAAATAGGTTGCAAAAGGAACCATTTAAAAACATCACTGCACTTTCTACCTTCAAGCATCCTTATCTGGATAACCGAGGTAATAAATGTGGAAATCTCACTCTCCTGAAAGACAAATGTTTGTACTATACACACTGACATTTGCATCGATTTTACTAGTGGTGGAAGAATTACATTCAAATTACCATGATCCCCACATCTCAAGAGTTTCCAAAATTTCACTCTGCAAAGCAAAAAAACCATACATCATAACCCAAACATATGACTACACGTATGTATGACAATCGTTTGGTTAACACATTTTGAAGGCCACCGGACTTATACGGAAGTATATACCCAACACAAAACATGCATGTTGCCACTACAAGTGTTGTATGCTTGAAGGACAGTGGTTTTTGCCGTGCCACATGACATCCGGTGCTAAACTCAAATGCTAGGATTCAAAGAAACACATGTACTATCTTTGAAAACACATTTTTTATAGCAATGGTTTGTCTATAAAGTCTAATGGTTTTGAATATTATATCACTTGGCTAACCTCTAAAGACACTACACGGACGGGCAAAGTGAATACTGTTCTGCTGTGGATGTTGACCACTCGTTGTCACTTCCTCTCGTCAGCTGACTGGCACACTGCATGACTTACTAAACATTCCTCACCTAAGCAGCCACCAGCGCAAGATGTTAATAAACGTTTCACTACACAGTAACACAGCGCAACACCGATACCCCTTAGAAAAACATACATCTGCATATTGAAAGCTAACAAAATCAGGAGCATAAACTCTACTATGCACAGGTACTTAGACTGCCATCGATGCAGAGCTTATTTTTAACATTAGTCACCTATACGCACTCCTTTAATATCCTATTTAAACCAGTATTATGGTGAAACTTCGAACGAGATCAATAACATGTATATGGTGACCAACATAATGAGGATACGTTTGGTTAAGAATTATATAAAACGGAACGGTAAGCCAAGTTGCAAAAACGTTAAAATTACGCGAGCTCTGAGAAGTTGGTGACGTGTGCGTCTTAAACACATTGGCAGGTGGCGCAAGCTTTCATTGAAACGATAACAGTTGTAGGTCAGCACCCATAAAAAACGTGCCCCTCTGTAGGGGAGGGGGTGGTACGCTTGTCTTAATTGGGCCGATATAACGAGGAGAGGGAGCGCCAGCGGATCGGGACGAGGGGGGCCTCACCGCGAACCGCAGGAGCAGACACGACTTGCCAACGCCGGAGTCGCCGATGAGGAGGAGTTTGAACAGGTAGTCACTGCCGAGAGAGCGCGTTCACGCGGTCAGTGGTTAAACATGAGGGCACTTACTATACCCGCGACGTGTGGACAGGTATTTGGAGACGAGGAAAACCCACGTAGATTTACTGCCTCGCGGCCACGCCAAATCGCCGGTAAACATGCCCCGTCACCCACACGCCGTCCGTCGCTGTCAGGTGAACCAAGTGTAACGCGATCTGTTTACTGGGCGAGGAAGAACGGCCACACGGCAGGTGACACCGATGCTGCGGCGACCCCCACAGCTCGGCCAAGAAAATTACCTCTAAAGCAAAACCCTTAAAGAGGAGGCACTGGGCCCGACAGCGCTGACGCCCATCGGGCCCGGCACATAAGGGCAGAGAGCAATTCTAGGTTGGACCATGTCAGCTCGAATGTCATGCTAGTCTGGGGGAAACGCGACTGCGCGTCCCCACTGAGCAACACTTTCACCGCCTCTACAACAGCTGAGCGAAGCGACCTCGCGTCGCTGTCAGTGGAAACAAAGGCGGCCGCGTCACCCCCGGCTACGAGCGCAGCACCCGGCAGCAGGCCCCGCCCGGGCCCCGACACTCCCCAATACACGGGCTTTTTCCTCTCATCTCTCCCGTTTCTCTCCGTCCGTCCGCCCGCCCGCGTCTCGTCTGCCTCTCACGCTCCGGTCCCCGGGTCAAGCATCGCCCACTACGGTCCGGTCACCCCCCCCACCCTCAACCGATCAGACTCGGGACTCGCGCCGCCGCCACCGTCGTCGTCGCCGCCGCTTACTATTCGGGGTTCATGGTTGACATCGCTGGGAAAAAGGACTGTGCGGAGTGGCGGAGCGCGGCGTGACGGAGCGCGCTGCGGGAATGAGGAGCCTGTGGAGACAGGTAGAGACGACGCCGCTCTCTCTGTGCCTCCGCACGTCGCTGGCTCCACACAAGATGGCGCCGGGCAGGGCAGGAAATGGCCGAGCCTTCCGCTCCGGCAGCGCCTTTACATTCCCCAGTGCGCACGCGCACCCCGGACGCGCGGCGCGCCCTCCCATTGGCTCGCGCCCGAGCGGCCCGCCAATCGGGCGTGGGCTCGCCGACGTCGCGTACGACCCCCCCCCCGACCAATCGCGACGCGTTCCGGCTCGCCGCGGCGCCGATGCGCTGTGGCAAATTAAATGGGGTCGCCCGCGCCGACGTCATCGGGAGACGTGGCATCACATGACTGCGGCGTGCGGGGCGGGGCCGCGGTGGCGGGTGGGGGGGATGCGCGGATCACGTGACGCGAGGCAACAGGGGCGCGGAAGTGGAGCCTGGGGTCTGTGACGTGGAGACGTCGGTGGCTGGCCACGGACGAGGTGGGCGCGGCCTTTGTCGTGTGGGCGTCGCCGCGAGCGTTGGACGAATGGCATGGGCGTGGTCACGGCCAGGTGAACGTGGCCCGGTGCGTGGGGCGTGGCCTCTGGTGCGTGGGCGTGGTCTCAGTGGGCGTGGTCTTGGCTGCGTGGGCGTGGCCTCTCGTATGGGCGTGCTCGCTAGATACGAACCGACTGTACGCGTCTTATACATTTTGCAAAGCGGTCGAGCATATTCTTTGGGTCTTTCGGTAAAGTCACAATTGCCAGTTTCCTGTATGATAACGTTTTAAGATGGAAGTGTAGCTTTTGAAGGCTTTACTCCGGAAAGATTCGAGTCACTGTTATTGACACGTCGTATTTGAAAAGGTGGCCGAGTGGCGAGAGAGCCACACTGATTGAACATGGCTCTCAAGGGTCGTGAGTTCTCAGCCCGGGCACCAATCATTGCACAAACGATCATCCGATTTAGTTTAATTTGTAGAAAAAAAACAAAATAATTCTGCATATCCAGCTCTTAGAATTAAAAGCCACTTGTCAGGCCAAGTCTACTCATACCTCTTTTCCATTGTACAACCGAGCCATGTCGGCGCCGTACCAGCCCGGCGCGGCTCGGGAGGCGCCTGGTTGTTTTCCACTGCTTCATGTAACCGTAACCATTTTCAAATGGCTTTCGTTGTTGTGCATTTTCTTTTAAGAATGCATTTCTCCTTACATGACGCCGCTTCTGCTTTGTATTTTGTTAGTTTTATTCATGTAATCGCGTTGTATATGGATTAATTTTTTTTAATCAAAGTCTTGATTTGTGAGAGCTTGAATTGCCACGTAAATGTGTACTGCTTGCATTACTTGACGGTCTCCAAAAGTAAAATAATCCAGTATCAGTACTGTACAATAATGGAATGTCCTTTATTAGTAGAAACATTTACGTTCGAGGGTAGGCTGTGACTGGTTGGGTGACGTCACAATAATCACTTGACCACCACACAAAAGATACCACAACGTTCCCCCGTGTAGCCTTAGACTCTAAGGCTTAGAGTGTAGGAGCAAGTGCTGTTAGCGAGCACCACGCTCGGCCGCCTTTGTCTCCCTCGTGGCCATGAGCGGGAATCGAACTCGGGTCGCCGGGTTTCGTAACGCTGCGCATTATCCACTACATTACCGCTCCCACACTAACTCACACTCATCAATCACGACACCATTCACAGTCACCATATCAGTATTATGGGATGAGGTTTATGTAAATTCAAAACATAGCAGTAAATATCCCATTAATTTACCATATCTCCAACATATGAGCTCGTTAGACATTGCGTATCTGGCCCAGTGTCCATGACACGTTTATAGATTCTCTCCATAGTACGCTACTGCATTGTATTGAGTTTTCACCCCCCAGTATACCGTACATTGTTAATCCAGCCGTCCAGGATTTTTTTTTCACATTGTAAAATTGCCACCATTCAAGATCTGTTCAATCATGATATAACAGTTAAGGGTCCATGAAAACAATGTGCAGAATACATTTGAAAAACAAACAAACTGAGGACAAAACATCGCTCTATGCATCACTTTTATTGCTTTTTTTTGTTCAAGCACTTACAACCCTTAACAAGGTCCATCCTTATATGTCAATCAACCACCGTCCGACTCAACGTTCCAGAGCACAGCCCATGCAAATGTCTCGTATGTATGTTGATGCCTACATTTTGTCTATATGCAATATGAATATTAGCCGATTAGTATAAAAGCAAATCATACGATAAATATACAATCCATCATGCAGCACCAAAATGAATCAGTTTTAAAACCATAAACCTGCTAGCTGAAATTCAAATACATTTCCTTCCCTTCAGCAATTACGTAAATATATGCATCGGCGAGTAATCGTTGGGCAAAGCAACACGTCTACATGCCCAAACATTAGTTTGTGTACCGACAGGGCAGGAAAGGCGACTCACAATGACACTTCATCCTCATGAATACGGTGCGTTCTCCTATGACGCGTGTTGTTTTCATAACGCGAATTGAATATAACGTGACGATGAATGTACGAGGACACATTTTTTTTTATAACGCGAATGCTAATTGGACATAGCGCGATCGAGTGGACGGAACTTACGTCCCGCCGAGTCGGATTAAGTGGTCGTAGCACCGCACACGGCGGGATGCTGCTGGATGCTTCGAGATGCTACCCGCGCGCCAGTCTTTGTTCGGCCTGTATACGCATCGCGGACTGTGCTTTACTCTAATATTATTTATTATAACGCGATTTTTCATAACGCGGTGTTCTTTAGGAACGCAACTACTGCGTTATAGGAGAACTATCTCCTTCATGTGTTTCGGTAGCCTGGAACCCTGCAACCTGACAGGTTCCCAAACTATTCCAATTACAACCTATTAGTGATGTTAACACAATGTTTATTTTGCATAGTTATTTCTAATTACTTAACAATAATGAAGCAGGCAACACTCTACTTCATCTCACATTCTTATCGAGTGTTTAATTTTACTGTTGAATAAAATTTGTAACAGCATAACATGACCGTTAAAATCGGACTTTTGTCCAAATAAAATGCTGCCGGGAACTTTAATGTCTCCGAAATGAAGCTTAAAACATTGGTTGCCGACTGGTTCACTTGTAAGCTGGCATCATGTACGGTACCATACAACTTGCTCACTGGCGATGCACGCCAAGCGAGTGGTCGGGAAAGCAGGTCGCAGGCCATTACTTTTCCAGCCCTAGGCACCACAAACACAGCAAGTTAAAACCATGGTTCTATCTACCGCCAGAATGAAAACCACATCTACACTTCGTTGTATAAGCACTGAACACATCTAGGAAAACATATTGCTTTTAGTCATTGACGTGTTATTGCTAATACTTAATGCTTGCATATATTGTTCTATTTCAATAAGGGGGAGATGGCCGGGTGTCTGCCGCATCCTATGCGTAGGACACTGAGCAGGGCAGGAATAGCACTCATGGTTATTACTCTACCCGCAAGGCATGGGGGGTAACTCCACATTTTCAGAGGAAATCTCAAAAGTGGACAAAGGATGAACTATTGCAGTTGCCCCACTATGTAGAACAACACTTTAAGCACATTTTATGTTAACATTTTAATAAAAGGCAACTAAGAAACCCATAGCGAATGGAATACCTTTCAAAGGTAAGCTTAAAATGTTTTGACTGACATTGTAGAATGTACTTATTTTCAATGCTGTTTTATAATGGCATGCTTCCATCTAATGTACCACTGACCTTTAAAATGACATTGTTGCCACCTTTTCATTCATCTGAAATTATGTGCATTGCAAAACAGTTGACGATTTGGCTATTGAAGAACAGGGAATTTTGTAAAGATTAAATACTTTACTGCAACACACGTTGGTATTTAATTGCTGTCCTATTGTGTGCGTGGCTCCTTCCAATTGATTGGACGTTTGCGGTGAAACCTTAAAACGGTTGTTCAAGCCACACATCAATTCATGGCAGAGAAATTTGCTAAATGTTTCTTGTGAAGTAGCTCAGTTGTACATAAGACGAGCATTCTTGCTTATGCTGCAGAGCGTGACAAGCTTTTCACAAAATCAGGTGGCATTTGCTCTTAAGATGCATGGATATAAGGTAAGTCAAGCATGCCCATATGCAAAATATGAGATCCAGGAGTGAAATAGCCATAACAGTACCTTCCCCCACAGCAGCCTCCACATCCACACAATCCTGCAAGCCTATCATCATTACTGGTTTTATGCATGCATAAAATTGTAAAACAACACAGCAGCATGCAGAAACCCATTGTGTTCACACTACAGGATACAAGGTTACTCGATTATGTCTCAAGTTCCAATATATGCGATTACGAATTATGTGCAGATTTAATAATGCATGCATAGCATATTCCATAGGCGTACTGGCACAGCGGTGCCTTATTATTAGTAACGATGTATGTACATACTGGCTACGGCTGCACACTATTTACTGTGCGGCCTTAGCCAAAAATGCTTCCCTATAAGGTTAAAGGTATAACATGCAGTACATAATGTTTTCTTCATCTTGCTCAACAAAATTCATTACAATGGAAGACGTTGGTGATTTTGTTGTTTGTTTTTGAACTCTGCAAGTTCAGACGCCTATAACGGCTATTGCACCATCCCTCTAGCCTCACGTAAACAGCAGCTAAACAAGAGTTTACTTACTACAAGAGCTACTGTGAGTTAGCACTACAACTGCTTTGATTACACTGCTAGTTACTAAATGCCATATACACAGTGAAACATTTGTATAATGTCACCAGAACATAAACAACATTTAGCGTTCCGCTTAATTCATATTTAAATGCTTAAAATCAATTCAAAGCACTGGATAAGTGGGCTGTCACTGGCGATTTTGTTTATTACGCGACAAAAAAGAATCGTTGACGCATTCATTAGTTACTTTTTAAACTGATGTAGACTGACATTCTCACTAATCACAGTGTCGTTTTTATTCAACTTTGCTGTTATTTTACATTATTCAAGACGAGTAGCCGTGGTCTTGACCCCCTTTACCCTATCGCTCGGTAAGTCAGAAGTCAAACCTGCACCCAGGCCGGGTTCTGAACCTGTCACACGACCACCCTGTCAACGTTGCCAGATGTCAAAC